TAGGGAAGAATAGATATTTCATGTAAGATCTCAAAGCCCCCTTCTTTCCCCAAGTCTGACTCTTTACAGACTGGATTAGTACCAAAGTCCAAAGGGTAAAGCAAGCCATATGGTTCTAGCTAAACTGGAAAAAAGTCAATCAATCAAAGAGATGGTAGCATTTAGGAGTGAAAGCATAATTATATAGATACGTAATTACGGTATAATTGTAAGTCTCAGAATCTCAGTACAAAAACCTGCGTGCATTTGCTGCACAGAATAATATGGCATAGGCATCTTTAAATTACGTTTTTGAGTTGTTTATTCTCTGGAAGAATTTGAGATTAATAAATACGGAATATTTTCATTTCGTTCCTTCCCATGCTTTCTCGCTCTCTGCTGAGTGTTAGAAACAAAACCAAAATGGACTTGCTGTCAATATTTTACATGCCAGACTGTTGCTTCAAATATGTAAATTGAGACTTGCTGTGCTGGGAGCAGTGTGACGGGAAGTCCTGCTGGAATGCCCTGTTTCCATAGCAGTCTCTCTGAATGTCCATTTCAACCAAAGGTGCCTTTTCCTTTATTCTTAGAATTGTTTTATTAACTCAGGTAAGTAGTAGTAGCCTTTCCACCTTAAGTTTCTTTACCCATTCATCAAGTTTGGGAGTTATTTGTGTTTGAATATTACGATGTTCACTGGGCTAAAAACAACAGGACTCTGGATTGTCCACGCTTAAAGGTGACCAAGTTGTTTCTAAGTTACTTGGTAAATGTAAGTGGTAGCGTATTGAATTTGTTTCTGACTTGACCTTTCAATTCCAATATTAATAAACCAAAGGTTAAAATGTGTGACATTTTCTAGGTATCTTTCAATAATCAGATGATGTTCAAAAGATGTGGTGTTTCGTGGGTTTGTTTTGGTTTGGTTCTGTTGTTGCCGTTCTCAGGGGGAGTGTGAAGGGCTAATCGTGCTGCGGATTTTTATTTCTGCGTTAGCGCATACAGCTGGCAAAGCGCGGTCTGCAAAATACAGCTTTGAGGTATGTAGGTCTACTTGAAATATCGCCAGCGTGAGTTGTAGTCAGGACACTCTCCCAGAAGTTTTTTAATCCAGACATAAAGTCAAACGTAACCCAGGCAGTCTGATGGAGCTATAAGCGAACCTGAGCAATATTAAACATCCGTCAAAATGTAACTATTAGTTCAAATTTTGACTACGTATTATAAAAATGTATTTTTGCTTACAGCCGCCGATGTCCATTCAGTCCATTGTGGTGCAAGTCCAGTGTGTTAACAAAAAGGTTGGCACCATTATCAACCACGAAGTACGGATTGTGGTGAGAGACAGGAACGATAACTCGCCTCAGTTCCAGCAGCAGCGATACTATGTGGCGGTAAATGAGGTCAGAACCGCTTACCTTTTTTCTCTTTTGTATGGTGTCATTGCTTAATGCCAGCTTTCAGTTGTTTCACTTCTCATTTGAAAACCTGGTTAAATTCAGTTGTTTTAAAATCCCTTATGTTTGTGTCACTTCAGAAGAACACAGCACAGACAGTATACTTTTCGTTTTAGCATGTGAGCTGTTCTTCCTTTTTCTTACTGAATACGAAGAGAAGCACACTTTTCATCAGGATGCTTGTAATATTGCAAAGACAGTGGAATCTGAAGCGATGTCTCAATGAGCGAGGCATTGATTTCCGTTAAATTTACAAAATGTTTTACTGCATTATGCAGTTGCATCACCAAACCTGGAAGTAAAACAAATGTATTTATGAAAAACAAATGTAAAGCAAATAGTTCAAAAGGTTTTGTTAGCAGTATTGAAGCTTGGCAAAGTGCGGTGTTGGTTTATTGCTGTTTCTCTTTATGAAATGATATCTGTGAATGGAATTTTTTTGCTTTATGTTTGGTTTGGTTTTTTTTTTAATGGAATAGAGAGCTGTGGTTTGGACTTTTCCATATTATTTGAAGGACAAATTTTATTCTTTCTTGAGCTGGTACAACTTCATTTCACTTTACAGTTAAGTTTTTTATTCTATTAGGGATTGAATAATCTGCTAATAACCAGTACAAAAGATCTGTGTTTTCAGTAAGTTAATATCCTGGGGCTTTAGTAATAAGAAGTGGGAGTGGGAACTTACATGCAGAAGTAGAAATGTCCAGACTGAAACTAAGAGGAGAATGGAAAGGTGGGTTTGTCTTCAGCAGGTAAAGCTGTCGAAAATTACAGTTGCCTTTAAGAAAATAAAGCTGTTAAGTATGAAGTGTGCATTGTGTCCCTGTTGGGGTTTGGTTTTGGGCAGGTTTTTTCTGTGAAAGAGCATGACTGTTCCCATGTTGTTTGATTTTAGTAGAATTGATTGACCGTTTCAAAAAAAAAATTTGTAGTTTTGTGTGTTTAGGAGATTCCGCTTCTATGTGTGTCTGCATATTGTTATGATCACTACATTACTGTAAGTGACCAAATGTGTAGTGATGTGCAGGACATCTCAGAGGCCCCAGGGAGAGCTGGTTGATGAATTTAGGCCTAATAAGCTGAAAGGATGGAGGAAAAAAAACAAACCCCACGCGTTAGTTTTGAGTAGGGATCTGAAGTTGAGATAGGGATATACAGGTGTTTCAAACTTACTGGTCTCCTGACTGGTCACACTTTTTAAATTGAGATAGTTTCCCTTCAGAAAAATTTTTGACGCTCCATCTGCCGATGTTTCTTACCACCAGAATTTGGAGGTCACAAAATACCATCTGTACGAGTACCGGTAAAGTCCTCTCTATGCCTTTAAATTGCTTTCAAGTTGGCCTTCACATTGTAATTGTAATTTCTATGTTTCTGCAGACCGGTTGCGGAAATGCTTCTGGTCTTGAGTAAAGGCAGCATAAGCATTAGTCTGAAGTGCCGGTATGGGCTTTGGAGCAGATCCCAAATCACCTCCAAGACCCACATAATTTTTGCACTAAAGCTGAAAGCAGGTAGTGTGTCAATGCTGTAATACTAAGGAAGCAAGGATTTTCCGTAATTAGAAAGAAGTCTTAAAGACAGAGTGGAAAATACACCATTTAAAATTATTTATAATCAGAAATTTAGCAGTGTTCCAAGTATGTACAGTCATTTATTTGCATTATTATTGGGCAAAATGCAATGTTGCTCTTTCCACCAGTTTCAGTACTGATTTAATTAGCTTCTTTGTTTCATTTTATCACTGTTACGCTTATAGCTTCTGACATGGCACCACTGTGCCCTTCAGCAGTACCCAGTGGGTTAATGCTCTCATTAATTAACCAAAAAAAAGTTCACAAAGCATCTCAGACTTTCTCAAAGGTTTTAGTGAGTGATTACATTTTTTAATGATAGTTTATTCTGCTAGTAATTGGCACTGCCTCTAGTGAATTTAACTACAGGAATGCACTAGAATGAGGCTTTTGTGGTTATTTTTTGATTGCCTCTGGTCTTTTGTTTTTGTTTGCTTGTAAACTAAAAAGTACAGTCATTTTTCTTACATAGTAGCATAAAGCAAATCCAAGGACAAGTAGATTTTATTATTTACAGCTACCATCCATGTTGGCATCACAACTATTTCTGATTTTTTCTAGCCAGGAAATTTCATCTGTGTCAATTTTGAGGACTGACTTGTTCAGGTGCTTTGCAGGGTTGTACTTGGCAGTTTCCGCTATCAGCTGCCATGCCTCTCTCTGGCTGTCCTGCGTGGGACGAAGAACACGCGCACTGTGGCTTTATAACCATACGGTAGTCCACTGGTGCTTGCACGAAACCTTAGGTGGGCTTCCCACACGTACTATTTAATCTGTCTGCACATACACAGCAAGTGTTGGATTTACAACTCCTGTGCTAAGCAGCTTGACAGTGTGTGTGGGCTTCGTTAGGTGTAATAGCTCCCAAAAGCATCTTGCTTCCTGTATACACCTACGGGAAGGAAATCCTGGGCAACTGTCTCAGCTTGCAAGTACCCCAAAATGGTTGTTTTAGGGAGTAAAGGGCTAAGATTTTCCCAAGTAGTCAAAATTGTTGTCTAATTATTGGCATCTGTAATGTGAGACAAATAACTGTAGCTAGATTTTACTTCGTTAGGTAGTTTTTTAGTTTCAGAAATGTCAAGGGGTACAGTTATATTTTGGAGAAATAGAGTGGTTTTTATGTCAAGTATTCTTTATATTTGAGCTCTCTGCAATGTATTAAAATTAATTTGTAAAAGAAGCTAACTGTAATACCAGCATATGTCCTAGTTTCACATGTGCCTCTTCCATTCGCACATAAAAAGACATGGTTTAAAACTAAGCCTGTATTTTTCTGAAAGACTTAGAATGTGATGGATTTGGCGGGGTAGTGTCTGTTTTGGTTTATACTGAAAGGTATCTCAATTTTTACGCTTGATTGGTTAGAAAAGGAGGATGTCTGTATTGAGTTAGACTAAAAGCTCCCCTAAACCAGTGGATTTTCTCTTGTCAATGACCCTTGCAGGTGCTCACGGAAGAGCCTACGGATTGGGAAACATGAAGTGGTGCTTTCCCAATGAGCTCACCCAAGCTCTGGTCAATTGTAGCTGTAAAATATGTTAGAACAAAGGCAGTGTATGTAATAGCTCTTGACCAATTTTTTTCTTTCCCGGTTGCTTGTGAACATTTATGGATTAAAATTCTTATTACAAGAAATATTGACTAATCTCTATCAAACTTTCCCATGTTGTCACAGGCACAGAAGTTGCATGGATGTAAATTCAGAAATACCATGGTCGCATTTACTTGATTTTTCAAAACCATCCTTCAGTTTCAGGAGTAGAAAATTTGATCATTAACACCTATTTGCTGATGCCTCAGTATTTCTGAGTGGTAATACTCCTTTCAGTCTCCCTTCTCCTACCTCTAAGTTCCTCCTCAAGCGCATGCGCATGAGGAAAGCAAACTCCATGCCTTAAGGCAAACTTCCCAAATCCTTCCAAATATGTGCACATACTAATCTGGTAACTATGTGGTGTTTCTTAGGAAGATTCGTGGTTCCTCACGACCTCAAGGTGTTGTATAGCCTTTTCTCATTGTGTCGTGTCTCATCTCAGGCACTGAGATGAGAAATACCATAATTTCTCACTCTACTGCCTCAAATATCTTCATCTGGATCCTAAGAATCTTGAGAAAACTCCATACATAGTGTCTGTAGAATTTGCATCATATTGTCAAATAATCCTTAGGTATTGAAGTGTTCTGTTCTGTCGTTCACACACTTGGATATATGGAAAACTCCTGGGTAAGGTGATCCAAACTTAAAAAGTGCAGAGAAATTAATGTTCCCCTCCAGCGCATGCGTGGTTTGAAAATGTGTCTTTTGCATCAAGTATAAAAATTATCTTTACATGTTTATTGAAGAAATACTTTTTTCAGGAGAATCTTAATTATTCTGTTAAAAGGATGGACTTCTCATAGGTAGCCGCAGTATGATGGTTCTCTCATACTTGTTTGTGTTGATGGAGCCTGTGATGTTTGACTTGGTGGCTTAGCTTTGAGGGGTGGTGCCAGTATTCATCTTAAGTTGCAGTCAAAATTGGCTTTCAAGTTTAGCTTCTCACTATGTGCTTTTCAAGCAGAGTGTTATTATCTGAGCATTTATAAATGAAATAGCTCATTAGAGTTAGTCAATAGGAAAAAACCCACCCTGCTTTTTTGGGGGGAAAGGAAACACCCTACACATGTATGTGTGTATGTATATATTTGTGAACACTTGTGTGTGTAATTATGTATGTATAAATAGACTCCTTTCTCTCTGGCCCTCAACAGTCATAGCGTGGAACTAACACAGACACAAAATAGCCATCTGCTTGAAATTAACTGGTGTTTTGTGCATAAGCTGTAGTCAAGAAAATGAGGTTGTGATTAAACTATTGACTTTTTATAATGGTCTGGGTTATGAAACGGATTTGGGACATAATACAGACGACTCCTCAGTAGTACTGTTCCGACATGTGAAGTAACTAAGCTGATCATCATTCTTGGGCTGCTGGTACTGCGTGTAGCACGCCACACAGTCTGTGCACAACCTAGGTCAGAAACAGGCTCTTTTCCTTCATGTCATGACTGGCGCAGTGCTACTGCCCTGTAAAAAGTGTGGGATTTTGGGCTTTGGTCTCTGTTTTGGTCTTTTTCCTTTCTTCCCCACCCCCCTCCCCTTATTTTTTTTTTTTCTTCTTTTCTGCTTGCACATCCATGCTTGTGAGGCTGGGACCGCTGTCTTAGTCCCCAGCAGGCTCCAGCATCACTGAGCACAGCACCAGCGCGGAAGCCCTTTACAGGGGTGCTACCCTGTAGGGTACCCTTTCGGAGCAAGTTTCCTGTTTCCCTTTTCCCTTTCTAATGCTTTTTCAAGACAAAGAATGTGCGAGTGTCTCAGCTGAAAGC